CAAGTTCCAGTATATGGTAATAACACTGATTGTTCCCTATGAAATACTATTTCTAAGGCATGTCTACCTCTGTCAAGTTCCAGTATGGGGTATTAACACCGATACTTTACTGTCGTGTTCCTATTTCTAATGCAGGTATAACAATTAAAAGATGAAGAAAGAAAGAGCCAGAAGAAACTCCAAAACAAAAGGCCAACAGTCATCATCCAAAACAACAACAAACAAGAAGCCAAGCAGATGGGAGGACCCAAATTATGTGCAGATCAAGAGCAACATGCTCTCTTTTGCAACAACAATTGACAACATCAGACAGAGACTTGAACGTCGGCACGATGTCTTAACACTGCTATCAAAGACACCTTTTTGGGCATTAATAGAAGCATATATCCAGAGAAGGTTAACAAAGGTAGAGTGCATGAAGTCTAACTACGACATTGTGAGACTCATACAAGTTTATGACACAAAGACAAAGAAGTTCAAGTTTAATGATGTTGACAGCGAGATGAAAAGCAATGATGTGGCTGAAATTTTTGGCTTGCCAAACAGTGGCAAGAAGTTACCAAGCACAACAACCTCAACAAGGCCAAAATTGCAGTTTGTAGAGAAATACTTCGCGCAGTACGCAGCCAAGCGTGAGTGGCTGCCTAATCCTAATACTGGTAAGAACACAAATCTCCAAACTGCAAATTCGTAGCATTATTCTAATGATATGAATTGACACGTGATATTTCAAAAAAATATTGTGCAGTATTGGCTGTGTCAAAGATCTAACCTGCTCACTCCAATTCCTGGAAGAGAACAAATGACACCAGCTGCTGTCAAATGGAGTCTTCAAGAACTCAGCGCGAAGCTTCATCATCTAAAGAACAACCAGATAAAGGTACTCTTTCCTTTCAAATAATCTGCAGCTGATATGACAACATTGTTAATACCATGTCATGTACATACTTGTTAATACCATGTCATAGAAGTAAACTATGAATACCATATCACAGAGGTAAACTATGAATACTATTTCATAGAAGTACACTATTAAAACCATGTCATAGAATTACACTCTTAATACCATGTCATAGAAGTGCACTCTTAATACTAACTCTACTCAACAAACAGATAAAAAGCACTAAAGCTCAAGAGCCGGATGATGATTCTGAAGAAGAGAATGAAGAGAATGATGATGATTCTTAAGAAGAGAATGAAGAGGAGGATGATGGTGTTGAAGAAGTGAATGAAGAGCATGATGATGATGCTGCTGAAGAAGTGAGTGAAGACAAGGATGATGCTGCTGAAGAGGTGAATGAAGAGCATGGTGATGCTGCTGAAGAAGAAAATGAAGAGGAGGAGGATGCTGAAGTGAATGGAGACCATGATGATGCTGCTGAACATCAAGTCCAGCAACACCACCAGGTACAAGAAGACCTCCAAAATGAAATCCCAGAATACCGGAATTCAACGTTGTTTGAGGAAATTGTTAGATCAGTACCAGAATACAAGGAGGATGAAATACAGCTTACAAAAGAGTATATGATGGCGATCAATAATGCTGCTGAATATTGGACGAAGAAAGGAGAGCATCAAAAGATCCGTGATGCAATAGCATCTTGCATTAAAAAGAATAAATTGATTCAGATGCTGTACAATGAAAAAGAAGAATTATTGAAGCATCAGCAGCAACTGCAGAAGATGGTTAAGGAAGCAGCACATCACAAGAAAGTCATACAATTAGATGTTCATCAGGAAAAATCCTACATGACAAAGCTGCAGCTAGAAAATGATCAACTTCTTGCAGAGAAGATTTCCTACTTGGACATTATTAATGAAAAGGAAGCTGTTATTGTCTCGTTGAGAGATCAAAAATTAGCGCAAGAACTGCAGAGTGAAGAGGATAAAGAAGAAAAGAAAGAAGGTGAAGCAGAAAAGATAAAATCAAGAAAACCAGATCCCTCATTCCCTAAAACAGAGACGAGAGCACAAAAGAGAAAGGCACAAAAAAAACCAGCCAAATCAAAGAAGAGGGTCAAAGGTTCATTCTTGCAATGGAATACATATCAAGTCTACAACATGCTGGATGAACTCTCACAAGAAAAGCTGAGAAATTACTGGAAAAATTCAGTTGATGGGTAAGGCAATGTGTTTCATTCATTTTCAATGCAAGATGCTATTATTGAACATGCATTAGAAAATAGGATTTCATTGTGTTATTACCCTATACTAGAACTTTACAGGGGGTAGACATGCATTAGTTATAGGATTTCAGAGGAATCTAGCAGTGTTATTACCCTATATTGGAACTTTGCAGTGATAAATTTATGGACAAATCATAGATGCGTATGCCGAGATACTTCATCATGATGAAAAGAAGGACCCTAAAAGACAACATAATGCATACATCACGTGCTACGCATACGTAAGATCATAGCTATCCCATTACTTCTAGTAAAAATCACAAATTATTCATCTTCCTATACTTTTCACATTCTCTCTAATGCCGAAACTATTAATTTTGCAGAGGTATCTCACAGATAAAATGCACCCAAGAACATTCGATGAATATTTTGTCAAACTCCTTGAATGCATAGGGAAAACTTCAAAGGTGTTCATACCAATAACGGATGGCGGACACCACACCCTGCTTGTCTTCGACACCAATTCATTGCAATGGACGCACTACAACTCATTGAGGGGGGAAACTGAGCAAACCGTTGAATACTACAACAAAAAAGCAATAATTTTGGTAAGACAGACTCCTACTATGAACTGTTAATACAAGGTATGAACAAAACAGTTAATCAGTGAAGCTAACAACATACTTACCTACAATGCAGGCAGAAGCAACAAATGTCTTCCTCAATAGTGTCAAGGAATGTGCTCCAACAATTTTAGAAAAAAACAGCTTCACACTTCTTGAGTTCAAGAAGCCCGTCTACAATGAAGAATTGACCGACGAGATTGCAAAACTTCTTCGAAACCTGAAAGTTACACCAGCAATTGCTCAAACAATACAATATCTGATGAAACATGATCCCACCAAATTCAACTTTAAGGAGGACAGGGAATGCGCCCAACAACCTGAAAAGTCGTAAGTTTCACAATAACACTTTTCTTCCCCCAATTCAAATTAAACTATGATTCACTAAATGTTGCATATATATATGTGTGTGTGTGTGTGTGAATTTGCAGAAACGATTGTGGAGTATTTGTCATGTACTACATGCAGAAGTTGTCACAAGGAAAACAAATTGAAGAAAGCTTGAGTACAGAGCATGTGTGGGAAATGAGAAAAGAAGTTTTATTGAAGACAATGGAAAGTGAAAAAAGTTGGTATTTCACAAAAGAGAATGAAGGATGAAAGCATGGATTTCACAAATTTTAGAACTATAAAATAGTAAATGTTCGGCTTCTAACTTCCAAATGTCAAATTATTAATATGTAGCTTCTAATCAAAATCTTTTGATGCTTCTTAACTTTCAAATGTCAAATAGTTACTGTGTAGTGAGATTCAAATGTAAAAAATTGTTACTCTATAGCTTCTTCTATATTTCAAACTGCGAA